GCGGCCTCTCAACAAAGTGGGCGCGGGCGGCGGCGGCGGCAGCCTGAGCGCCAGCAGGGGACACGGGGAGAGCACGGCCCCCCCTCGCGGCCGCCGCCCCCGCCCTCCCCCGCAGACACCCAGTGCGTCACTACGGAGACCACCCTCGAGCATCACGGGAAGTGTAGTCTACGCGGGCGGGGGGAGGGGGCCGCCGAACCCGTTCGGGCCAGACTTCGAGGCCACGCCCCCTAGCAACAGTTGCTAGGAAAGGAAAGCTCCCTTCCCTAGCTTTAGCCAAGCTGCTACTCAGGAGTTAGGCGATACCTGCTACTAGGCGTGCTGTGATCATGCGAAGTGTTGGGGGAAAACAATTCTGCACAGAGAATCCCTCATGTACAATATGCACGGAGTAACATGCGGTACACCTCCCAGCAGAATCATTCATTTTAATTACAGCACGCTCCCCACATCCTGCAATCTCAAAGCATTTTGTGGAATGATTTCATCTAGGTCTCAATATTCCATTTTAAAGATCAGAGGCAATTATTGATTTCCGATAAGGTCATAGAAGTTCAACAGGAACAAGGATCTCATTAAACAGTGAGAATGTCTGAACATGTTTCTTGAAGACCCAGGGCCATAAAGCTACAATCTCTTTAATCCTATTACCAAAAACTGTATTAGATATGACGGTGCTGTCATGCCAAACCTCTATCAGGAAATAGCTACTAAAATGTGGGGATTCACTAGTTTACTCAGCTAGCCCCTCAGTTCTATTTAACTTATTATATCACAACTGAAGATGTATACATCTGCAGTGATTAACAAACAGCAGAAAATAATGTCATTATTAAGATAAATAAGTGAAATTATGTCTACCCAGACTTAGAAACCACAAATGTCTATCTGAATCCCCATGCACATCTCTCTTAGTACTTTGGCAGAGGACATTAGGAAAGGCAGTCTCCATAAAACACCAATACATTTAGAGTCTGAGAGCCACCTCTCCAAACTACACCAATGTGACCTCATCTGCAAAACAGTCCTGCCTACCTTCCAGGAGTAAAGTAGGGGGTGTTAGAAGGATGACTTCATGCATGGGAAATAAATTACTTTGTAATAGCAATGCATCATTCGATATGAAATGTTACTATTCATTCTCTCACTCAGCAAACAAATGTGCCAGGCACTCTGCTAGGCTCCAGGAGTTTAAAACTGAATATAATCGAGTCACTGTCCTTAGGGAGCTCATTGTCTGGAAGCCCCTGTCATTCCCTACAGCAATCTCTCCAGTCAGGTTTGTCTCATCGGATGGAAACTCACAGGATGCTTAGAGTAACTGCCTGTTAAATAGCCTGGCTAGAGAAATTCCAAGCACTCCAAGAGGTCTATATCACTCTGGAGGTTAGATCAGATTCCCCAAGTAACTTAATGACAGAGGAAAAACTGAGCCCAAATCTCACCTCAATTAGGCTTCAGAACTTTGTCTTGCTATTTCTGAGTCTGAGGTTACATAATTTCCCTTGGCCTCTGTTATTTGATGATTTATCCTCCACCTTTAGCAACTGCAGAATCCCCCTACCCCTCCATCAACCCTCCAGGAAACAAGGACAGTTGAAAATGCCTCCATTAACCAGCGAGTGCTGAAGGAACACTGGAACACGTTTTGAAGGCTCTGGCTCACAAAGGTAGTCCCTACCCCAACCCCGACCCCAGCTTTTATCTGTAACTTCCCTGGCCATGACTCTGCCAGGCCTAAGAGCTCCTGTAATTAGAAAGACAAGAAGAGTAAATGGCAGGATATACCAGAGCACCAACTCATGCTGCTTTTCAACAACCCATGGCCAGGGATGGAATGACCCCTACAGCTTGCCTAAGACCTTGGGATTTCTGTCATGTGATGCTGCTGTTTGCTAGGCTGTCACTGCCACCTCTAAAAAAGGCTGCATCTTTCAAACGTGCACCTAGCTGTTTCCAATTACTCTTCTCAGAGTTTATTCTCAACAAAATCTCATTATAACTCTTCCCTCACATAGGGCATGAGGGAGCATTACTGAGCACAGTTGCAGATTTTCCTCCTCTCCTCCCTTTACTTTCTGCTTCCCTGCTCAGGCCGGTAAGATGGGAGGCTGTTGAAGGAGCCCAGCTGTCCACAGCAGGGAAGGGTAACATCTTCTCAATACCCTGAATCTATTGTCAGCATCAGTTGGAAGGAAGTGAATGACACAGCATTTTTGTAATGGGAAAAATAACTTCACAGGAAATCAAAATCCTGGCGCTGCCACAATTAGTTATACGACCTTTGCCAAGAGGCTTTGCCTTTCTGAGCCTCAATTTCTTCATCTGAGAAGCTTGAACTAAATCTCCAAGGTTCCTTCTAAGAATCTATGAGTGTTGAGTTCCAGGAAAATAGGGCATGGGGGCCAGCAGGAGGCATGGTGGTTAAGGTGCTGGACTCCCACATGGCCAACCACAGTTCAAGTCCCAGACCTGACAGCTTGCTGTCTCTCTTTCTCTCTCTCTCTCCGGTCAAATTAAATAAGTAAATAAAATTAAACAAATTGTTTTTAAAATCTTATAAATAAGTAAAGTTATTAAAGAAAGAAATAGGACATGATGCCCATGGCCTGTTAAAAATATCTCCTCCAAATGACTGCTCATGGGTTTGAGGGGTTTTCTGGGGTATGTAGCGAGAGAGATAATTAAAATCGTTTAAAATTAGATTATGCAAATGACTGTACAACTCTGTAAATATACTAGAAATCATTAATCTGGGCACTTTAAATGGGTAAATTTATTTTTAAATAACAAAGTACACTTCACAGAGCATTTATTGTTTAACCTTTTCTAGGTGTCTAATTTAGCAGCACTGAGTACATTCACATTGTTGTGCAACCATCACCCTCACCCATCCACAGGATATCTCCCATCTTCCATATTTTCTAATGTGAAAGAAACCAAACTTCTTTTACGTTAAACAATAACTCTCCTTCCTCCTGTCCCCTGACGCCCCACAACCACCATTCCCCTTCCTGTTTCCATGAGGTGTGACAGCTTGAAGGTACCTCCTATGAGTGGACTCACAGTATTTGTCCTTTTGTGACAGGCGTATTTCACTTAGCCTAATGTCTTCACAGTTTACGCGTATGGTAGCATGTGTCAGAATTCCCTTCCCTTTAAAGGCCGAATAATACTCCATCGTATAGAGGTATCACATTTTAAAAGTTTATTTATTTATTTCCTTATTTTCTTCATGGGTAAGAGGGAAAAAGAGGTAGGCACCCTTAACAGAATCTCAAGCCAAGCTCCTGCTCCCAGCCCTGCAGCCGGCCAGAATCACCGGGCACGCTCAGATAGACCTAGGATGCAAACTCAGAGCCATTCCGTCCGGCCCCAGCATTACACAGCAGTTCCCTTACTGCCTGCACCGCGGTGGCTGGGCCTATATATACCACCTTTTGCTTATTCATTCATCCATGGATGAACTCTGGTTGCTTCCACCTCTTAGCTATTGAGAAGTGATTGGGCTTTAGAATATGTAAGTTGTATCTCAGTAAAGCTGTTAGAAAATATCTCTCTCCCACCTGCCTTCTATGGCATCTAAAATGATTCTCACTTTAGGATTATTCCTTAGGAGTCTTCTCAAAGAAACCTATGAATTGAAACTAGATGGGAGCATTATTTTCTATAGGCTCAGTCACATTTTAGCAGGTATTTCTTGACTTAATTATCTTATTATGCTATGCACTCTCATGTATGAAAGATCAGAGAATCAAAAAATGCCGCAAGAGACAGAGAAAGACTTACGGTCATGCCTGGGGAGGACTTGTGGACACACCGTGCACTGCAAGGGGAGTGGAAGTGTGAGTATTAAAGACAGCCTTTGACACTTCCATCTGGTTTGGCCTAAGGCAAGCCTAGTCTGCAGACACCCAGAACCCAGGCAAAGACAGCCGAAACCCTGTAGGTCGCAGTCATGTCCAGGGGCCTGGGCTCAATATAAGGATGATCATGACTCTGGCCATGCTTCGAGTTCTTAAGCCGACGTCTTCTTGATTGCAGCCAGTGTAAAAGTCATTTTTTGCAGTGACTTACTTTGTAAAATTACGTTATACTTCTTATGAGAAAACCTATGTGAAGTCCTCTAATGTAAAAAAAGTGTCTCAAGAATTTTAACTCCCTACCACAATGGACCAAGGATTTTTCTCTGAAACTAATTTGCTTACTGTTCTTTCACGACTTTCCTCCCTCAGTCTTTACTCTTACTAGAGCAGAATGAATGTGTGTTTGCATATTTAAGAATTGTGCTTCAAAGGAATTTGGGATATGAAGAATAGAATTAAATCGTATAAGGCGAGAGAATAAAGACATGCTGGGTGACCTATTTTCACACACACTACAAATACATCTGGCCCTTTAACCCTATGCCTTCCTAAGGAAAGATTCTCAACCTGCTTCCCATAAGAATCAGTGGGATTCCACGTATGAATGAGAGAATGTAGTATTTCTCTTTCTTTTCTTCAAGTTTATTTTATTCTTGATAGAGAGAATGTGCACACACACAAGAGAAAGAGAGATAAATGCCTTTGACAGGGTCCCATCAAGCCACAATCCTCCTCCACCAGTCCTCCAGCATCAGGATCTTGGGCACATGCACACAGGCCCAGCATGTTTCTGGTTTTGCAGGCAAAGATCTAAACCCATGGTCAGCAGTGCAGCTAATATTGCTAGTAATACCAACTGCTCCACC